GCACTCATTAGAAAGACAATGTTCTTGCGAATCTTCCCATATAACTTTTGATCACATTTTGCTTCTAGTTTTGTTTAGTATTATATAGTTTCACAGAAGATCGTGATGGCCGTCGTTACGAAATCATAGACGCCATCAAACAAAAATTAATAAGTAACAATTTAGGGTTAAATTCTTTACGAATATTATATAAGAATGTAGCCTGAAGTTCCAGCTTTGCAATGAAATTATAAAAGTTCACAAATTAATTACAGAAATTGAGTAATTAATAATTTTTCACTGCCGGAGCCATTCTATCCTTTTCTATCCCCTCTCTGTCCTAGTCTGTCACGTGACGAGCTCGTCGACGACCTCCTCGCCTATTCTATATTCCTATCACTTTCTTACTTTTTGAGCCCAAATCATAGATGGCGCAGGCAGTACAATTTCTCATTTTAATAGACGATAAAGTTTAACATCTTAATAAATCAATTTGGCAGTAGAAAATTAATGAATTTTCAAGTTTTCGTAATTAATTCATGAACATTTTTAGCTGTACATCAAAGATGAAATTATAGGCAACATCCTTATACCATGTTTAATTTAATAATTAATACTTACATGAGTGATAGCTTTTGTATTTCCTGTAGTAAATAAGATTGCTATAGAAAAGTATTTTTCTTACATAATATTCTTATTATTTTGTAATAAATATATACTAACATAAGAAAGGGTAAAAAATAAATTTTTTTATTAAGAAATTTTATTTACAATGTTTTTATAGGCGAAAAATGTATATAAAATAAAAAATAGATTGAAAAAAAATTACTAACTATGGACGGGAATCGAACCCGGGTCCTTCAGCATGAGAATTATTCACTGTCACCGTTATGCCAAGACCTCACTTAAAAATTATTGTTAATAAGTATGTAATTAATGTAGTAATAAACTTTAAACGTAAATACCTTAGAAACTATTAAATAGTTGCTGTTATAATGATATATTTTCTTAAACTGCATGACAATATCTACAAACCTGCAAAGGTTCAGCTAAGTCGGTGACCCGAAGGACTTGTACTCTCCTTGTGAGTACATTTATATCGTGAATACATATATGATTGTGATATATGAGCCGCTTACTGCACAAATTGAAACTCCATAAAACAAAAAGTGAGGAAATGCAATGAAATAATGTACATTGTTTTTTAAAATTCCCTTTATAATTTAAATCGAAATAAATATCGTAGAATGCATAAATACAAATGTCACTTTCATCTAACGGTATATAAAATTTATAAGAAAAAATAGCCAAAAGGTAATCGTTAGTAATGTTACCATTTTTATGTTACTGGAAGAGTTAATCGATTTGGCAAGTGATAAAAGTAATAAATTTAAATTTTACCAAATTTTACTTAAATTCTGATAAGACGGCACTAAAAAATCCACCGTTATCATTCATGACTTGCTAATGCATTTGAGTTGCATTAATGCAACGATTTACATTAGAGTACGGAGTTAATGGAAGTGACCTCTGAAATAATTTATTTATTATTCAGTGGCCAACAAATTTTTGCCGTTTATCGGTGTTAATCTTAATTATCAGGGAAAGTTATTATTAATATAAAAAATTACGACTATACCAAGTGCTTTGACACTTAAATTTAAGATTTTTCAAAAAGTGCATGTTATTCTCCTGAAAAATACGAACGATGAAATATTACATAAACGGAAGAGCCTGCGACAAATAATTACGTCTCGAAATAAGTTTCAATTCGGCTTTATATGAAGCGTAATAAACGTTCACAATAAACGGGTCGCCAGGTCTGAGCAGAAAAACTGGCTGCGAAAGTACACACGAAGAGTCCCTCAGAATTGAAGATGCGCCACTTTAAAGACATCGTGGCATCGTATTTTTCTGAAAAAAAGTGAAAATCACGTCGGTGTACTTCACCCCGAAGCATTCCTGTTTTCCACGATTCGCTCCAAATTTACGTCACATTTTGTCCCGATATGCGTATGCGTATCAATTTCTATATGGAATTACAACGTGATTTATATCGTTCCTGCTTTACACGATAATATATTCACGCACAATTTAAATAATAAATACGAAGTGCTTTGACTGTCGATATTGACAGAAATGTACACAACGCCTGTTCTTCGATCCTGTATTTAATTACACAATTGCATTAAATGAATTTTTAACGTAGTAAACGAAATGAATTTTTTCTCATTAATGGATATGACGAAGAGGAATTTATTTGCATATACTCTTTGATAAAATAAATTTTCTTTTACGTGTATTTCTTCTTACCCTCTTTTTTAATTTAGAATAAAATTGGTTCCTCGATTTTATATTTTATTACACAGTTGTCTTATTATAGTAAATCAAATTTTTAATACCAATCGATAGGATGAAAACACGAACACGATATTTGAGCGCGTTAATTAGAATTTTGGGTAAAATAAAATTTCCACGTATTCTACTTTGTGTGGAATTAATATTGCTTACCTTTTTCAATTTTAACAAATTTCATAAATTCGATGAATATATTTTTATCGCAAGTATCGAAACACTGAAATTAGCAACGTCAAGTCGCATGATCGAGATTAAAAAATTGACAACAAACGTGCCCGGCAACGCATTACGTTAGATGTCAGTTTGCTGTTGATCTGGTGGAATTCGATATGTTTTAAATAAAATTCGTGGTTTGGGGAAATTTCTATAATTGCTTTCGCTGCTACCGAATCTTTCCTGTCGAATCCAACAACTATTATACAGCGATGAAGACGAGCTGACTCGATACCTACGGTTAGCTTAGACTTGCAGCAGGTAAAATGTTTAATTAAATTATTATAAATAATTGTACTAAATTATTATCCAATTCTTTGAACCATTACCATTTTTGTTACGACTCCTGATATTTGTTTAATAATTCTATCTCGGTGTCTTACTTTAAACTTCAACCTCTTCTATAACAAAGACACGAGATCGTAGAATATTCAGAAAAATTCGTCGGAATTCACTTAGAACTCAAAGTGATCATACAACGATCTTCACAAACTCTCAAATATCTCCAATTTCTCCAAATATTCAAAAATCTGTGCCATTAATAATCGGTACAAATTATTTCACAAACATTCTATTGGGTAAAAGACAACGTTAATATTTTTAAGAAAAATGATAATAATTTCTCTCTTATTATACAATAATATATTGATGATTTTAATTCATAATTTTTAGCCATTTTGTGAACACTTGCTGTTCCTAATCAACGTGTGACTGTATGTTAACATGAAACAGATTAGGAACACTATTTGGTATTAAAAAGTGAGAACACGAAGCTGATAATTCAATAAATTATTTTCTGATGATCCTCTTACATCTTCTTCGAACAACTTTAACTTCTTTCCATCCATTATTCTTCAGCTAAAACGACCTTTAACACTAGGTTTACGTACGCTATCTGTATACCTATTTCTAAGGACACCTATGAAATTGACAGGTAAAGGAAACCACGTGCTTTTTTTACGATTAGTTTAATTTAAAAACAATTATATATTATATTAACAGTCTCAATATAAGTTAACTAAATCTGTTACCATGGTACAATTGGAGCAATCCTTCCGTTAAATTGACGGGTTCCGTAAATCTAGTGTTAACCTCATGCACTCGGTGATTTCTTCATTGCAAAGAAATAGCAATTCGGAGGTTTCTGTTATAAAGTCGACGATATTTTCAAAACAATAAATAAGAAAGCTTATAGAAATTATTTTATTTAGACATTCCACGCATCGTTGTGTTACTTTAAACTTGACATACTAATTAACATCGATCATTGGACTTGGATTAAATGGCGACTGAGGGTCGCAGAGGGTTAACCCTTTGCACTCGGCGATTTTTTCGTTACAGGAAAATTGTAATTCGAAGACTTTCTGCCATAAGATCGATATTTTTAAAACGGTAAATAAGGAATCGTATGCAATTTAATACGTATAATTACTTTGTTTCGATATTCCACGCAAATATTCCACGCATAATTATAAATTTGATATATTAATTAACATCCATCTTTAGAATCTGATTAAATGGCGACTGAGGATCGCCACCCGAGTGCAAAGGGTTAATAATTATCTACTAACCGTTTGAATCCCAAGCAGCGCGGTCGCGCTGTTTAGATTTCATGTCGAGAAAACCCAGCACATTTCGAGCGTCCTCGACAGCTGACGGTGCGTCACCGACTAACGAATTCGAAACGTTATCGCGCCACTTGGATATTCATCACCATAATATAAACAAAGCGCTATCGCGCCGCTTGGGATTTCTCGACATAAAATAGAAGAAGCGCTATCGCGCTGCTTGGGTCTTCGCGTACCCACTTAGAGGCAGCGCGATCGCGCTGCTTGGAATTCCTCGACATTGTTTTTTCAAAACCCTCTGGGACTCGGTTAACCACTTACGCTACGATTTAACTTTCGGTGGCCGTGCCGTGCTCTACAATATAACATGCGGTAAGGCGTTACATTGACGTGGTATACTAAAGAAGAAGCTATTAACCACTCGCGTTAGAAAGACGTGCCACGCACGTCGAGATGCTTTTGTTCCAAAATCGCCAGCGACGTGTACACCACGTCGATAGGCATTTATCGCAGAAATAAAAATGACGTGGGCTACACGTCGGCTAACAACCAAATCGTTCATTTCTCGAGCTACAGTTGCAGAGTGCACGGCATCGCATAGTGTCATCGATATCTTGGAAATATTTCAGAATCGATACAGTATCTCGCGGCACCAATGTGACACCTTACGCGCGTTATACTGTAGCGTACGGCACCGCAACCGTGAGTTTATTGGTAGCGCAAGTGGTTAATCCTTCAAACTGACGAGCAACTCTTCTATAAAATTCAGACACAGCTGATCCATATTCTCTTCTGTTTCATTTCATACTTATTAATATTATTCAATAACGTACGTAAATTTTCCACGTCACATAGCTGCGCGAAGTGGAAAAGGGATCAACCATGGTGCACGCGTCGAATCCACGTCTGATGAATCGCGTCCTCGATGTGGTGGAGCGTCTGTGCGACGGTAAAGGTTCCACAGCTCAGGATATCCTCGATTTCCTTCGACAAACTTCGAAGAGCACGCCGAGGAACTTGACGATGCAGGTGACAGAGAGGGGTCGAACGTAAATTAATTTCGTACAATTCCCGGCGATTCGACGACGTAGAGTCGAGTGTCTTTGTCGTGACACCTCTCCCTTTTCTCTTCGTTCTCTCCTAATTACTCTCATCCTTTTGCAATCGCTGGATTTCTGAGCCTTGCTGAATTGCGAAAATTTATCTCGTCGATAAGAGTGTAACGATAATGCAAGTAATGGCGTTTCTTAATCGAACATAGTGTGAGTAGATTGAAATTGTTACATACGTGTATGTGGCAGTAGTTTATGGCTGAGATACTCAGAGCAGATCTCGCTTATTCGATTAGAAAATCCAATGGTATCGTGGTACATGTGTAATATGGATCTGATGAACAATGGGATGGGACATGTGATGTTACGATGATAGTAATGCTGGGATTACTGGCTTGTAATGTGTACCTGAAAGTACTATAATACATAGAGTATATATATTAATTAAAGTGGAACGAGGGAGGTGAATAGTTATATCGAATAATAAAATATAGTATAAAATATATATAAATAATAGTAACCAAATATATGTCAATATGGTATACATGGATAATAATAATTAAGCGATACGATAGGAATAACACAGTGTTATTACACAATTACACTGTTATCTTGATAAAAATTAACAATAACTTTGCCATATCTTCAGCAACTGTAGGACAAACAACTTAGAGCTCGTCATATCTATTTGATTAGGTATATCGAGTGTTAATATATCTCGTGTCGTTCTACTTAATAAAAGAGTCAAAAAATTATTGATCTCGTGTGTAATATAGATAATACGAAGCCAATATTTTCAATGCATTCTCGTCGTGACAATAATATTTGAAGATGTCTGTTTACCAATCTAAAGATAGAGAGATGGATATATTTACAAAATATGTAATCGACGTGTTACCATCCCATATTTATATCGGATTGATAGTGAAATTATTACGATAACTACATACTTACATATAAATTCTGTCAAATATTTTTCTAAATAATTCCATCTTGAAAATTCTTAAAAATTTATTTTAAAAGATCATGAAAGAGGAAAAGAGGGATTCGAATTAAGGAATGCCCTTAAGAAAATATTCCTGTAAGAGAATAATAGATTTAAAATAGTTCGGTCACGAACATTGACTAAAGGAGAAACATCCATTATGAAAGGCTCTTTCTTCAAGAAAAATCGACGATTTTTCGAGATTATGGCGGAAAAGCGAGCAATCTTCGAGAAACTAGTTCTGCCAATCTACAAGATTTCCACGATCACGCTGAAGATGGTTGTCAAACAATTCGAAGCGCTCCAGGAATCTTCGAACGTCTTTGACGATCCATCAGGCTCTTCGAAGCTTGCATCCTTCGTGGAAGAACAAGCATTTTGGAGCATTTTCTCTAATGCTGGAACTTTGAAAGATTATAAACTCGATCAGAGACCGCTTGCCAGTGCCCATTTTCGCGTTATATCTCTGGTATTTAACCGACGAACGTGAAAATTCAATTAAATCCTATTCGAATCATAATCTGCAGACCATTCTCGCGTTTAAAATTCACTGGCTGATTCGAAGTTACGAATTAACAAGACCTAAACTAGAACTCTGGAATACATCTAGATATTTTCCAAATATTTTAAAAATTCCTACTTACCTTTAGGATGATATTTTATCATTCAAAAACGTTGACATAACCTATAATCTTGAATAATTGATGGTGGAAAATTAAAAAATAGTCAATTCTCATTAGATTAATTTCACTTATTTATATGAAAATGTATAGCATGGTACCACACATTCTTTATTTAAGATTAAACCAGCGAAATTTTACCAATTTTCTGTTAGATTCTATTATTCTTCTATCAAAACAAAGTATACGAATACACGAGAATGTGAGAGCCACGTCACACACGTATAACAAACATATTTTTTCCTTTTATTTAAAAATTTTTCCTATTTTCTAATCTTCTATTCTCCTCTTTTTTACTTTTTATTTTCTAATAAACGAATAATCGTATATCTCAGTTATTAATTAATACTATCGTAAAACAAGTCATATAAACAGTATCATAAATAGTTGACAGCTGAAACAGGTGTCAAAATTAGCGAGTGGATTTGTCTCTGTACATCTCCAATTTATACAAAAAGTCTTTTATTTTGACACTTATTTGTTTAATATGTCAACTCGTCGATTATAAAACAAAGGAGCTCCATTTACTACTTCTTACGAGATAAGTTTTCAGGTTCATCGAGCTCTGAAGCACGCGGTGAATGCCGGTTTGTTGCGGCACAGAAGTGGTCATTACAAGTCACTGTTCATGTTAAAACCAGTTCCAGTTAAGCAGACATCGAACGAGAATAACAGAGAAAAATTGACCAACGAAGCAAAGGACAAGCAGAAAGCTTCTTCAAAGACCAAAAAAGATAAAGGAGACAGCAGGTTAATTTTTGATCGATTAATCACGATTATTATACATTTAGGATCGCTATTGACAGGGACTAGAATAACATCGCGATACTTAATAGAACAAAAATAAGATTTCCTGTCGAGAAAACCCAGCACATTTCGAGCGTCCTCTACAGCTGACGGTGTGTCACCGACTGTCCAAGACGAAGTGCTAGCGCGCCACTCGGCCATTCATCGCCATAATATAATATAAACAAAGCGCTCGGTGATAGACGACAGTCGTGGCTCGCGGATTATTCCGCGCTCGGTGATAGACGACAGCCGTGGCTCGCGGATTATTCCGCGTTCGGTGATAGACGACAGCCGTGGCTCGCGGAATATTCCGCGCTTGGATGCAAATGGGTTAAATAGACTCACCCCTGTCCTTGCACTCTTATTTAGAGCCTCTGACACTGACTCTGACACTCTGACCATAAACTCTGACTCTACATACTGGCTACACTGATTTGCCCCCACCCTTGCACTCTTATTTAAACCTAACTGTCTCTCTTCTTTCATAGGCTTTCTTTCTGGATCACTCATTTCCCACGCAACCTTGATCCTATGTCACAATCACCCTTAACATTCCTTCAGGACTGCACTCGTCCCAATCCTACATATATTATTAGACTTCATATATATTCTTAGATTTTTAGATCATCATCGAAGCCATTTTCCAGCTCCTGTTTTCTCTTGTTCTTTCGCGAAAGATTATCTCGAATTCCAAGTACAAATCAACCGTCTTAAGATTCACGAGAGCTTCCTCCACTGCCAATTTTAAACTTTCGTCATGTTTTACGATACGTTTTACAAAGTTTAAATTGACGAGAAAGTTACGCGGAAATCCCGGAGATCCGGGATGTAGAATGAAGAGAGTCTACCAATTTTATCGTAGCACGCTTATTATTCAAGGCACGCGTGGTATTGCAAATTTAATCTCTCCAACGTAGACTTTAAGAATGAAATATCGAATTGTAGACGAGATCGTATAGATTTTCTCAGTCTGAAATTTCGAAGAAGACCGTTTCGTATGTATCTGATACGAAAATTCGCGGGCGAGGGTGGCTAACAAAGATGGCCGATCGGTAAGAATTCGGCGCGAATATTTGAAACAGCGGTTCCTTCAAAACTCGAAAATATTCATTCCCATAAAAATCTATTAACTTTACTACACGAAATTAAACGAGTGTTCAATTAAGAACGTGAAAATCGTGATTATTTATGATTTATATTTATTATATAATAAATCACAGGAGAAGTGTCCCGAATGGCTAAGATCAAAATTCACGATCTCTCTGATTTAATTGCACGTTTAATAATCTCGTTGCAACTTTCTATGTCTAGTGAGGCTATGATCTAGTTAATATCAGTCAGATAATACAGTTACTCGAGTTCTCGTCCTTCTAACACGACGTTAAACGCAGATGTCGAGGAGAATGTCACGTCTGCTGCTTTCGCAGCTATTAAATTGGCATGGTCGCCTCGCAATTATATCTATGGTCTAAACAATTAATTCCACCTGTTAATATTTTCTTAACTGATAATTTTAATGAATTTTTTAAATAATTATTTCTCTATACCCTTCGATTAAAATTATATTTTTACCTCGCGATATTATTAGCATAATGGTGTTCGAGTATTGTAGAAACCTCAGGGAAATCACGAGCAATTACATGATCTCGCGTTAAAAGCACACGTGCTACTGATATCGTTACAAGGAATTGCCGATTTAACTCGTGCACATCGAAAATACATTTCCGCGAGTAATCGACAGACGTTTAACAGAATTCGCGAGCACTCCACGGGTAATTCGGGAAGCAATTGTATTTCGATATCTAACATCTACAGATCGTGGCGTACTCGTAGTTTGCCTAACAGGAGCTTACGATTTGGCATTTGACTCCGATAGTCCGATCCGTGTAGTCTCTTATTCTATTAAAGTTGCCGAACTACATCGATTTGGTCGTACCATTAATTTACTCAATCGAGATCTCGATGACTCGCAATCTTCGAATTTCCCAATAAGATATTCCAAATTTGGTGAAATTATTCAATAAATCGTTGGCTATGCGGATAATTCTATTTACAGTAATTACAGATTTTTAGAATTTTAATAATAATTTAAAAAATGATTATTGAAGAATTTTAAATAGTATAGTAAGCAGTAAAAATTATTTTTCATCAGGAATCTATTGAGATAATTTAATGATAGATGAGTGATTTATTTAATATCGATATTTCAGTGATAGTAATTTATCAAGAGCTGACAAATTATCGATTGCTATGCCGTACTGTATATCAGCAGTAGCGATTCCCCAAAGTGTAATTAGTTATAAGAGAGATGGCAAATTCTCGATTACTATACTGTGCCATCTTAAGTAAAATGGATTCTTATTTGACTTCTCAGCAAATTTTCTCGTCTTTTCTCTTCTTCGGAGTAACTAAATATTCTTGCAAGTCATAACAGAGTATAGAGTTCCGAATGCAATTGTATAGCAATTCTGTGAACCTCATTCGCAGGTATATTAGTTTAAAATGAAAGTCCCGTTTGTTTGTTACCTTTGACGGGAACAAGCTTGCACAAATGAGAAGACATTAATCCTGGAGCATAATTCCTCTGGTTGGACTGTCGCTGTTCACTTTTCCACAAATCTTTCTTTCACCAGTACGCCGTTGGCTAGAAACGTTTTGATTAATACGAACAAAGTTTGATACACTATACGAGAGCTTTGAAAGCTAATAAAAATGAAATCCAATGAAATGTTCGGACCATACGATTCTCACGAATATTCGACTCGATTTTATCTAGATTCCTGATTTTTTCGTGCCACTCTTTTAAATGCATTACCCTGTTCACAATGGGAAAGCTTGCCTTAATATTTATTCCATTTCTTGCATAATAAATTTCGAGCTGGGAAGGACTCTAGCAAATGACATCCTCTCTTTTTCTAAAACATTTTATGAATTTCGAAGCCCTACATTTCACATACAAATATATACCACCGTTTTTGCAGGAAAGTATGTCTCTTCTCATAGAAAATTTTATAGATTTCAAAGCACTGTATATCAGAGTACACATCAAACACGTATCCTCCATTCTTGTAAAAAAGAACATCCTCTATTTTTATGGGACATCTCACAGATTCCAAAGAACACGTCAGATACACCTTCTCTATCCTAACATAAAATATCTTCCATTTCTACGAAGAAGGATTCTTTTTAACACCTCCATTGTCATAATGTATTCGATAAATGTGACCAAAAAGCCAAATTCTTCGTACTCAGGAAACATATCACTTCGAATAAAATGGTATAGGTTTTGAGACCAATTGAGGATTTTTAAATGACGAATCATCTTAATATTGTCGCGATATTAAATTTAAATTCATCAAGGAAGTGCTCATATACCCGTGGATCCTTTTATCAGAAATATGCTCAATTAATTTATTCAAATGATATCTAATTTCCAATCTTATTAGAAATATATTTTTGACAAATTATAGCTTGCGTGATTTCGAACTCTGATCATTGTTCCTCCAGAGGAACGATGTTCTAATTGTTCGTTAGGTTTAGGATGTCCCCTGAGAAGGAACAGCTGAATACAAAGAGTCAATCTGTGTACCATGTTAATACACGAATCTCTATGTTAATGAAAGGTGTCCCAAAATTTGAATTTTGCGCCATTTGTGTAGTAAAGTGGTGCCAACGAAAAGAAAAGACAGCGTGACAGCTGACAGCTCAGGGTTATTAAAAATGCAGCGCTGCACGAAAGAACGACTATTTTAACCCCTATGGGGACACTACATGGACGCGTTTTCATAGTTGGGCAATATTTACAACTTTTAATTAAAAACCTGCGTTTTCTACCAAAATTACTTCTTGCATTAATAGGACACCCCATACATACAGTATTAATACACGGAATAACCCATTATACTCGAAGGTTTTTTCACTTCAACCCTTTGCACTTGGCGATTTTTTCGTTACAGAAAAGTAGTAATTTAAAGACTTTCTGCCATAAAGTCGACGATATTTTTAAAACGGGAAATAAGAAATCGTATAGATATAAATTAAGACGTAGAATTATTTTATTTCGATATTCCACGCATCACTGGGTAATTTTAAATTTGATATATTAACCCTTTCGTTACGATGAGTATCGCCGTGAAGTCTCTCCCGTAGAACGAAGTGTCGTGCCAATGATGGAAACATTAGGATCGTGAAGTTTTTAGCATTCAAAAGGCCAAGTCTTTTGAAGGAAAAAAAAAAAAAGAAGGAAAGATCGACCACATCGCAATAGCGTTTGCAATTCTTTGAGAAGAGGAACGGCAGTAGCACTAGTCTTAATTTTTACTCAATTTTTGTGGCCAGTGACTATAGTCATCCGTCATGTATAGATGGTACCTCATGGCCGGTGACTATAGTCACCCGTAATAGTGAAAGCGTCAATTAACATCGATCTTTAGAATTTAATTGAATGGCGACTGAGGGTCGCATCTCGAGTGCAAAGGGTTAACAGAGAGTAGTAACTCCAAATTTTTCTCTTTTAAAATTCATAAAGGGAAGAAATCACAAGCCACAGACACCAACGCATCTCGTCGTTCTGAGCTTAATATCTGTTATTTCTCTCGACAATTTTGCGATATGAATCTTACAATTTAGACTACTAAGTCTCGCCCCCCTAGTGTAGAAGGTTGATCTATGGTTCACTGAACCATACGCAATATTTGGTAGCCTATTTCTCAGAATATTTCGTGACAATTAGCGTTGATCGTTCCAGCACGAGAAACAAGAAACAGCGTCGCGAAAGGGGACGGAAACGCAGCCGCAGTGGCGAGAGAAGACGAAAACGACGCAGCGGGTCCAAGAAACAGGACGTGGTGAAGAACAAGATAGGAAAGCCGAAGTACAAAGAAAAAGGGGGAAGTGGTCGGTCACCACGACACAAGATCTCGAACAGCAGGCTGCAGGCAGATATCGGAAACGCGTCAAGCTCGTCTAATCGTAAAAGGAGCAAGCCGAGACCGAGGGATTCGAGCAGCCACAGCGATTTGTCGGACTGCAACGACTACGAGAGTAGAAAGGCTAAAGGTACAAGCATATGCAAAGCGAGTTCATGATCATGAATATTCCGGCAAATTTCCTCCATTCGTACCGTATTCGTATTCGTACGTACAAGGGTGTTATTAGATGTTAGCAGATACTCGAACTTGCGACAAATTGGTGACTGAAAACTAGACCTGCCGATTTTCCCTGAAATTCGCGAATTTTCAAGACTTAAAACCGAGTTGAGTACACGATATATTGATACGAGACTGATTTATTTTAATTTTAGTTTTATCTTCTATTATATTTAAGTTCTATTTAAAGTAATAATAACGAAAGCTGCTGTATTTCTAAACTACGTAATTTCGAATTTTGTAAAACAGAGAGAGTATTGTGAGACTCGTCCTAGAAGCGGAAGATCCGATTTAATTTTTGCAATCCGTTGGATCGAGCCTTTTTCTCCTAGTAATAGAAAATACTTTGAAACGTGTTAATCAGTCTTTTGTTATTTGCTATAACTTACAATCCACGTAAAGCTCGAAAATATCGAATATTATGCTACGTATTTCAGATAATAAATCGCTCAGCAATCTCACATTTTGTTCTCACCGTGTTCCTGTTTTGACACGAAAAATCGGCTAGTAATAGTACAAAATAAAATTTTCTCTCATATATTTCTAATATTCGGAATCTAACTTACGTCACATTTCCATTTTTCCTCTCTAAATATACCGCTGTTAATAAAAATTAGGATCACCATACTTAGCATAAATAAAAAATTCTGAGGTATCAGAAATCGAGAAGACACCTCGTCTACCATTCACCAGGTAACAGCACCCCAACCAATATCGCCAAGTACTCCTGTTGATAGGTGTAGACACTCTGATACCCCATAAAAAGAGATAAAAAAATAATATAGATAAGGCGAATCGTTTGCTCGGTTGATAAGTTAGTAAACGATAAACGAATCTTCGCCTGTTTCAGTAATACCTACATTATAATGCAAAGCATCAAAGTATCATAAGGTATCATCACCGAACTCCGATCGTTATGTAAAGAGAATGCACACATTACGTTACAGTGAGAAGGAGAGATCCGTCGCTTCAAGAACGCAAACAGGATGGAAATGGAAGAGAGAACAGGTCTGTATCGCGAAATCGCAGTGTGCATAGGCAACAATCGCAGCAATCGCATGCGAAACACTGTAACGACGACGATAAAGCGAATCAAGTGAGCACCAAGGATGGGAAAAACGACGAGGTTGATCAGAACACAGGGAGAGATCACGAGTCTAATAACAGTGGAAGTAATAGTTCATTGTGAAATTGTACGTTAATTATGTCACACAAAGCTCAATCGTACACGAATTTTTATTCGCGTTTCGTTGTATCTATGTGCGCAAAATTTATCAGTGCTCTTGTAAACCTCTATGTCCTATTGTATTGTAAATACGAATATTGCAGATAGAAATACAGGCATGATTGCAGTAAACGATATAAAGGAAAAAATTGTAAATATACAATATAGAACAAAATCAAATTTTGTAGTCATGAATTTTTTAGAAATCGAAAATGCAATAATAACGAGAGTTATTAAGATGGTTCATTCAACGAGCAATGTGAGATCACGATGACAATGCAGGTATCCAATTTGAATTATTCTAAAGTCTGGAATCCTAACTTAGGCCTGGTTGGTACCTGAAAAGGGCAAAGAAACTGAAAAAGAAACTGAAGCACTGAATTGTTAAAGAGCAAATTAAATTACTATCAGTTGAACTGCGAATAGGTATAGCGATACCAAAGAATTCTGGATCAATTGATTCGAAGTCTAAGGATCTTTGCTGAAACACACAGGGTTCCAAGCACTTACAGGACACACGGGCTAACTTCGAACTGGGGTGTTTCAGTTATGGTTTCGATATTAGACCATTTGACCCGAGATTTCACAGCTCCAGGTGGTCCAGATGCGATCTTTTATTTGAAGTTTATGGGTCGTAAAATTTCAAGACTTTGGGATCTTCGTATTGCTTAAAATTTTCAGCCTTCCGGGATCCTGGGCCAGTTTTCACAGCCTCAGGATTGATAACCTTAAATTCTTCTCTTTGCAAATATTCTATCTCGAGTCCGACATCAGAGTCTTTCAAAGCCACCATGATAGTCTTAAATATTAGTATATTTTTCCATTCCAGCTTGACGATGCTATCTCGAAAGTGAAAACACGAGACATGCGACGGTTTTCCTTGCAACCTAACCTAACCTAACTACAGATAATCCAGTACTTTATCTCGTGATTGAAAAATCATCACGGTATATTTTGCATGAAGAAAAAGGAATCTTATCCACGACGGGTATTATACTATTATGAGAAGCATTCTTCAGAAGGATTTTTCTAACTGAAGACTAGTAGAGAAGCCTTGAAGCGAATTTTTCAATGTAGTCGTATGGCTAAAGCTTTCTGCTGTTTATCGGTTTAGCCAATGGCATTTTCCTTGTCACGGAAATTCTCTTCGATACGAGGTCGTACAGTTTCCATCGCATTCTTCTCTCTTGTATATCTCGTTAGGTCTTCCAAGTATCTTTAGGTGCGACACGTGTGATCTACTACACACGTAGGACAAGCATTAACCTTCAATCGATAACGTACCTTTCTCTATAGTATGTACAGTATATTTATTATTTGCTATTCATTACACGATTTTATTTACTTTGTACTTCGTTGTGATTACCATGGTGACATAGTAATTGCCTATAACTCCGTAACATCTAAAAGCAATTTTGTATTTCTATACGTTTAAAAATTAAAATATGACTATCTCATGGTACCTCGACTGTTACATTACAAGTATAACTGTGTGTTAAAATTACCATATTATAGTATTTTATATTTAAATGAAAAAAATGGAAGAAAACAGTTATGAAAAGCTATAGTCCTGGAGCAGCTGGTTGCTCATAGTAAAAATGACCCACAGTTAATGATAGATCGTGTTAAAAATTGCTCGGAGTACAAAGGTTTAATGGTTAAATTTACAAGAAGAATCTTACAAGATGCTATTCGACATTTAAGTGTTATTAATTTTAATTTACCTATATTATTAACATATTTAAATTGCTAATTTATGTTTGGTTTCAAAACATAATTACTACGACGACGTAGAATTTACTCGAGTATTAAATTTCAATATTATCGTGACGTTCCATTGACACACGTGTAGCTATGCATTCATATACTCTTCGATTATGTCCGAGCAACTAATAGCGTACTATACATTATACGTTTACACATTAACACCTTATCAAGATATTATTTAAACCACTGCTGGACACATTTTCGATAATAATGTGCCGAAATCGATAACTATAATAACTATTGAGAAGCTTTCAACGTTAAATCTCGCATTCTAATTAAATCCTGGGTCAATAGCAGTGCTATAATAAATGATGTATTTCCTTCTCGTAATTACTACTACTACTGTACTACTATTGTTTTCATTTGCATTCGTTTCGAACGATTCTATTTAACGTACAAATCGGAAAATAAATAATACCATCGAAACAGCATGATTATATCAATATTATTACGAAATACATCAATATCGCGAGAGATTAATAACCGTAAAAGATGTACACCAAAGTAAATGGAAAATACAAGATATAGTAAAAGCAACTTATTTACACGATTCGGTCATAATTTATTCACTGCACTGTCATTTCCTCGCTATTACGTGCAATTTCTCAGCCGATCGATTACCTACAGCAGCGACTATCCAAAATTCTCCTTTCGCATAATGGATCACGCACACATTCCGATCTAGCACGGATCAAATTCTATAAACAACTACCTGGCGATACAAAAGGAAGGAATCTGAATTTTTCAAACTGCGAAACTTCAACCACTTTTAATCGCACGAGTATTAACAAATGTTATTCGAACAGGCTTTCCTGCACCCTGCTATAGTACCCTTTAAAATGCCACGCTTCTCTCCATCGCAACGCTTTAATCTTCAACGCGGAAATATGGGTCAAAGTACGAAAATTTTTAAACCAACTCGTGCATTCGCTCTTAGAAACGAACCAAACAATGCAACCCCCGAAACTCGCGTCTTTATTTTAATTAAACCAATTCACTCAGCTGTCCGTGCAAAAGTCTACATGTACATAGCACGCAGCCTTTCTTCGTTACCACGCGAAGCCATTGTTCGGGGACGTACAGGGTGTCTTATGATGTATGGGATTCGATTCAATGAAGGAAAGGGAAGGAAAAATTTGTGTGGACACTAGTCTTAGAAAATAAGAAATAATTGAAATGAAACAGGAAGAAGGTTATTCCCCGGAATTGAAAACTGGGGGTCCTAACTCGTAGGAATACTGTTATAGTTCTCTGCCACTGCACTAATTGTAAGCCATTACATAGTAATCATTCTGAACAGAACTGAATTGCAATGATACATCTTCAATTGCAAATATCTTAAAAATTATTGAACAATGGCACCCATAATCGTACACCTTCGCCATCGGGGAAACTAAATCTACCATCCTAGAAAATTTGAACTAAATCTGTGGCCCGAAGGCCTGGCAGTCTCCTTGTTAGCTGATACTGCTCTATACGTCCTGGGTTATAGATACTTAGGTATCCTGGTAGCTATTGATACTGGAATTGTCAAATCTGGCTTCAAATATTTTATTTTTGTGGTTAGTGAGGATATGCAAATGATTGTTCATAAAATTAACATTGACTTTTATTCGGATACGTGACTGCTGTATAATTGCTGTTATTTGTGAATAGCACGTACAATTTATTTAACTGATACTTTTATTTCCAATATTGCCGATGTTAATTTGAAAATTGTGAAACCTAGATATCATATAATATTAATATCGATATCAACTTTAATTCCTATGTGCTTTCTTTTATTCCAGATATATAATAAATTAATATTGATACAATTAATACGACATCTGAACAAATGGTTATTCTAGACTCAGACGGCTCCAAGAGACAGCTCACGATTGATAATGGTTATTAACACGAACACTTATTTACAGTTATTAACACTTTTCTCGTGTTACGCGATTAATTACCGGCTGATCAGTTACGCCTACGAACGTAAAAATCACAAGGACGAACACCAGCTGACCTTTTATCTTCCATGGATTCCTCGCATAGCTACGCTGCTGTCACTTTTCTACGATTTTATTACCCTGACAGTCTTTCGACAGCTGCTAATTGATCGATATTGATATTAATATCTCCTCGAGGCAGATCACACGTGTCAACGACACTCCGAGTACGTATGTAGGTGCTATCCATTTGGTGCGATACCATTTCTGCCGAATTATCACGCTGTCTACAAGTGTCGGGGGAAATCGATCTATGGCAGCAATCTCGGAGCACTGGCAATTTATCCAACACGCTGAATTTGGTAAACAGAAGAGGAGAAGAGACGAAATGAGAGGACTGTTGCGACCAGCCGAGTCATTACCGATTACACGGGAAAAAGATGAGAATATGGCCGACTCTGCGGCCCTCCTTTATTTGTCGATCAACAACTAGCTCGTCGTTTTTCCTACCTCTCTATTTCACGACTTCGAGCTTCCAACGAATGAGCTTTTTACGTTTCTTTCGATCCTAACTATCTCCTCTTTTTTTCCCTTTCTTCCTCTTACTCTGTCGGTTTCCTCGTTTCTTTTTCGTTGAAAAGAAGCTCGATTAGATTTCCTGGGGAAGCAACATTATGCTGAAGCGGAAAATCAGCAGATCGAATTGCTCTGACTGCGAGATTTGAAAATATTCTTTCTGACAGTGTCTCATATTTTAGTAAGTTCCTGTCTTGTCTTGTGGCGATTTAGACACGACATTCTGGTTTATTCTTTTCATTCTTGGTGAACGAAATATAGTTCTGTGTCGTAATTTATTTTTGAAGTCCTTGCTTTGGAAAATATGAAAATAAGGACTATTTACTAGTTAGAGTAGAGAGTCGAATTTGACTTGGTCTGAAGAGTCTTATGTTTTATCAAGTACCAGTACACGTGTATTTCTTGGATATGGAACTGTTGCAAGCTAATTTGAATGTATCAGAAATTGCAATAAAATATTTTCACGACGAAGAGGGAAATGGGAATTTCTATTTTTCAGTAGGACCAATTTTTAAATGAAAAATAAAATAAAAGCGACTGTAAAAGGTATGTAGATGAAAATATTTTGGATCCTACAATGAACATTTTGATCTTGAAATAAACTGATAGAGAAATTTCTTAATTTACATCTCAGCCAATCCATAAATACACACACGAGCATAGGCAAAAGGCGTGTCATTTTGATGTGCT